ATCAGTAGGGGCTGTATGACTCTAACAAGGGCCACGTCGTATCATTAGGGGCTGTATGACTCTGACAAGGGCCACATCATATCATTAGGGGCTGTATGACTCTAACAAGGGCCACATCACATCAGTAGGGGCTGTATGACTCTAACAAGGGCCACATCATATCATTAGGGGCTGTATAACTCGATGCATCATGTCATAAGTGGCTCTATACATAATGTTTATTTAATTGGGATCCAAATCTTTCCAATCTAAGGTCTTCATGAAACCCAAGAAACAATGGGACTGATAACATTGAACACTTTGAGGGAAATTCTCAAGAAGGGATGGCCTGGGAGCTAGATCCCTTGATGGAAACAAATAACAAATAATAACATGATTTTTAGGTTTTATTTTCAGATTTTTCTTGATTTATGTTTTTACTGTTACTTTTTCTGTGATATATATAAATATCATTTAGTTGTTTCTTCAGTTATATGTCCTTATTGGTGCACTTAGTTGGTAGTTCTCCTTGTTCTTTCTAGAAATTTGTTTTGTTTGCTTAGGTTTTTGTTTATTTCTTTATTTTTATATGCCTTTATTTTAAGTTGTCCAAACCCTTTTCATGTGCTGTGGCCCAGTGTGAAATTAATATTTAATCAATAATCATATTAATAATGTTAAAGATTAATGATAATTACTTTATTCAGTTAATGTGAGAATTAAAAAAGTCCCTAAAAAGACAAATACTATTGTGACAAATTATCTTCTTTTACATTGTCAACAAATTGAAAATTTTTCAATTTGTTGTAACAGTAGAATTAGTAGTAGTCGTTGTGAACAAATCTAGAGGGTTTTTTTTTTTTTTTGCAGGTAAACCTTTAAATTGGGATGAAGTATTTCACAAATCTTCTCAATTAAACACTACGATTTATGTTGGCAATCTTCCTCCTGACATTAAAGGTTAGTTTCTGAAGGTTCTTTTGAAGGTGTAGCTTGTCAAGTTCAACCTTTATTCCTAAAAACTGATTAATCTTGAAGTGCTTATTAAATTACTGGGCAAGGCTACAGTAATTTTTCATATTTTGTTATTAAGACCAATATTCCATTGTCAACCTCGTCAATACGGTTGTTTTTATAAGTAATGTATTGGCTTGACTGAATGTTGAGTACTTAATTGAAACAATATAGGATATATTGCTACGCTTTTTCCACACTTGCTTGGAGAAGAGAAAAAATGCCTACAAATCAGGAGCTCAGCGAGTGATTTTGGCATTTTTCTATATTATAAAACTGGATAATAATTTTGACAATGATTACTCACAATATTATTCTTAATTTCAAATTGCAGATTATGATCTTCAAAACTTGTTTTCTCAATATGGTCAGATTTTGGAAATCAAATTATTTGCCGAGAAAGGCTATGCATTTGTAAAGTAAGTACAGCATTTTTCTTGAAGTAGTTATGTATGTGTACAAACCTTATTATAAGTGATATGTATTTGTAGATTTAGCAATCATAACGAAGCAACAAGTGGAATAGTAGGAACACATAACCAGACAACATTAGGTGATCCTAATAACCCATATTTACTAAGAGTAAGTATTTGAATAACCATATTTTCGTTCTATTTTATTTGTATTTCAATAGCTTGGTGTGAATGTTTAAAGCAGGTGATAAAGTAAATAAGCAATATTTCTCATTTTAGTGCTCTTGGGGCAAAGAAACTCCAGAAATGATGAATTTTCAGCAAGCAGGAGCTTGGCAGGTAAGATTTCCAGCTGATTAGACATAGGAAGCTAACAGTGGAATATAACCACTTATCCCAAACCAAATATATTGTGTCATCAATCTCTAGTTTACAACATGAGCGGCCGTGTTTTAGTGGGAATTACAATCTTAAGCCGCAGGCGAGAGATTGTAATTCCCTTACAACACGGGCGCGAATGTTGTAAACGACTTATGAAACTCCAACACTAATTAACATGAATTACGGCGAGATAAATGACGAAAAATGACAAAAAAGGTAACTGCTGCGTTAAGTCGCTATTAAGCATGAGCAATTTAGTGCAACACAGAACATTTTGAATAATTATTATGCATCCCACATGGAAAGCAAGCATTCTGTTGCATAACTGAGTTTTGTTATCTGTCTACTACTGGTTCAAAACCTAGTGAAGGTCTATAGGCTGATTTACACGGTACGATTTGTCGCGCGCGACTTGTAGTATACGACTTGAATCACGCAGTGTAAGTGCTCCTACGACTTGTCTACAACAGCCGTACGCAACCTACGACTTGTAGTAGGATTTTGAAGACTTGTAGTAGGAAAATCGTATACTACAAGTCGCGCGCGACAAATCGTACCGTGTAAATCAGCCTTATGATGCGATACTAAAACGGAGACCTTTGCTAGTGTTGGGTTGTCTCAATGGYGATGACCGTGTTGTAAATCTGATACAACACTAGTGTTGTATCAGATTTACAAGGTCAATCACCAGATTGGGAACCAGAGGCTGGATTTACTCGTTCTTGTACTTTTAAATCCAGCCTCTGGTTCCCAGGGTATTATTGGAGTAATAGCTCATGCATTATTAATAAGTTTTATAAGCCGCTTTGAAAGGATGTCTTTCTCTGCTAAACATGGACCAACTCCAAATTTCTCTGGGTTAACAATTTGTTCGTTTTGTTACTTAGCAACAGTACTATGCACCGTTTTACTATCAACAAAGCCAGTCTCAACCACAACAACAAATGCAACACTCACATCAGCAGCAACCACAGCAACAATATATACAATACCCTGGATATGCCATGTATTTCCAACAGGGAAGTCCTTATGCAGCGTAAGTATATTGTGTATTAGATTATTGTTTTCTAGTCTAATAAATATAGTTTACGTTGTTCAATTGCCAATCGTGGATCCGTTATTTCCAATTTTAATAGTCAATCTTATTGACCTCAACAGGGGCCAAGGAATGGCAATGTATCCCGTACAGAATTATTCAGGTAACCTTTTGTCAAAAACAGTACCTGCATTTGTTTGTTTGTTGCCTTTTTTTCTTTTTAAATAAGAGTGAGAGATGTAAACAAAGTTAAACAATATGTTATGCTTGCGCTCGAACACAGAAATCACAGACTGTCATTATAATTATTAGCTTGACTTCCCTCGCTTTCTAAAGCATAGCCCAGTGATTAAGTACTTTATTCCAGGACCTTCACTTGAAAAGTCATAGAATTTATACTGTAGCATGCATATCGTTAAATAAGTAAAAAGAATATCGTGTGTTCCAATAAATATTATCTGTTATATGCTATATTTTTTTCCATCTTCAGGTGTTCAGATGTCTTCTACTAGTACATCAGGCATTCAGACACCAACTCAATCCCCTCAAGTAATGGGTATGCAAGCTACTGGATTAGTAGCTCCCCAAGGAGCACCACAGGCCTCCTACGCCATGCAGCCGGCTGCTGGCTACCACGCCCAGTAGATGCAATCACAAGAATGTTGTGTCGAACTTTGCTACTGCTCTGATATGTAGGATAGAATAGAACCTGAAATTAAGTTTAGTTTGTCGCCTTTGAAGTACGTTATGGTGTTTGCCTAGTACAAGCAAGCCTGTCAACACCGTCAATGATTCCTGGATTTAGAGTTAATTTTGTTGCATTTTCTGGATCATTAAGTCAGAAAGCACCACTTAAGTTAATATTCTAAATTATTCAAGTGAGCAAATATTCGGTTATTCTGGATATATAGATTAAATGAACATATCAGAGCAAAGTAGTAGTTAAACACTGAACAGATTCAAATAAAAAGATGTCAGAAAGTTAGCAAACAATAGAGAAAATATACTCCTTGACTGAAGTGAATTCGGCCAAATGAGAAAAAACAAATCCAATAAAATAGGTGTTGAACCCTTTGCTGTTGAAAAAGTAGCTAGCTTAGCTTCACTGTCCATGTATAGGTAGCAAATGGAATCTAGTAAAAAATGAGCAATTTTGGCCAGCCATGTACAGTTTCTCTATATTTTATATTTATTATCAACCATGCTTGTCATGGTTCAAACCTGTCCTTCTCAAATCGTCTATTTTTCACTGACCTCTGTTGACGATTTTCTAGTATTTATCAGAACCAAAATGTGCTTTTTCAACATGAAATGGTTCTCATTTCTGTACGCTACATGTCAGGTGCGATCCACTCTGTGTACTGTATGTTTTCCATCTGTCTATCACACTGTCATTACTGCCTGTCTGTCAATTTCTCAAGTAAGGTAAATATCGTGTCGTACAATTGTGTTAACTGTGCTTGCTATAGAAAGAAGGGAATAAACCAAAACAATTTTTAAATTGTCTCTGTGTATTTGATTTTGCTACTATATATCGAATAGATTTTGAGTGGGTTTCTCAGTTGCACAATCAGGAGTAGAGACCTTGTGGTGTTGTCCAGATAGCAAGATGGGCCGCGACCACTTAGGGGTAGGTTCACATTTCACCATCGTTAGAGAGATCGCACTTAATCCGTGCAACTGTACAAACTACATAGTTCTATTTAGTTCTTGTATTTAGTAAATCGTGCATGCGGTAGTATGAACGCACTTAATCCGTGCAACTGTACAAAATCTAAGTAGTACTAATTTGTACTAAAAGTGGACCTGAAGCAAGACGGTATTGAATGCTTCATTTGTATCAATTCAATTTAATTTGCGTATCGCATGCACGATTTACTAAATGCAACTTAAGTAACATCACTATTTAGTTTGTACAGTTGCACGCGGATTAAGTGCAATCACTCTACGCAAATTAAATTGAATTGATACAATGAAGCATTTAATAGAGTGAAAATCTGTAGAAAATCTACATAAGTAGTACTTATTTGTACTAAAAGTGGACCTGAAGCAAGACGGTATTGAATGTTTCATTTGCATCAATTCGATTTAATAAATACAACTAAATAGAACTATTTAGTTCATACAGTTGCACGGATTAAGTGCGATCACTATAAAAAAAACGTTTTGGGATAAAAAGGGATGAATTTTGTATATGGTAGTCCGCCATGCCCATGTAAATGCACGCTTGAATTCATTCCTTTGTCTCGGTTTTATTTGTTTTCTGTCTCTAAAACCGGCCGTTTATTGGGCGAGGATTAAGGCCCCGTTTACGCGAGATGTAGGCCTGATTATATGAAGCGGGCTCGCCTATTGACAGAAMACAAGAAAATGAGCTCGGTCAACCGTGCCAGCCCGATTCATAAAAGAAATAAGAAGTCCCCTATAAAATCACACTAAATAGATGTCATGCGCTCTATATTCGAATTATAGTAGTTCTCAATTATAAGTACATTGTTTCCTTTTGTTTTACATTTAATCTGCAAAGGACTAAGGCGAGGGTCGAATACCAAACTTCTTTCGTCAAACAAGCTTATGAAAGCAAACTATTTAGTGTCAATTGTACTTGAAATCGAGTGTCTTTTGGCAAAAAATAGCAGCTTTAAATTAAGACAATGGCCAACTTTAGATATTTTGGTTTAGTAACCATTCACATAATAACTGAAGACGAGGCTCCGCGGATAAGAAAAAAAGTATCGTTTAAAAATGCAAGGTGTCGTTTCAGAAACAAAAATTTGGTAGGACAAAAATTAAGGTCAAGTGGTTAGGGAAGCCCAAAAGTCTTTGCAGGCGCATAGCGTCCTTTACGTATATACGCACGTGCGTACCATGCAGTGGCAAGGAAATCATTAAGATTTTCACAAAAATTATTGAAAAATTCCCTTTTATAAGCCATCGGTGTCTCTCAAAACGCTGTAAATCGTATTTCCAAGAGTTACTATTTCAAAATTTCCTGAGGAGGTCCAGACTCCCTTAATACTCCCGTCTTTGGCGGTCGTTAGACCCCCAGATCCAAAATATGCGTCGCGGCCCCTGACATGTGCGTACTAGCCAAAAAGTCCACGCTACGCGCCTGCTTTGAAATAAATATACTAGCTCTCAAAAACATACACGAAAAACTGAACAGACGTTTATTGCCCAATATTTAACTCTAGCAATTAACAAGAAATAATACACCTATGCGTGTTTTCAATTTCTTCGTTAAACAATTGCCTTCACCATGAAATTACATTATTAAGACATTCCAAAGTCAAACGCCTAGGATTATGGTCGCCAAAGGGTTATCGTGGTGCTCAGTAAATACTAGGAGAAGAGAAGAATGCATCCAAGGAACCCAGAAATAATTGTCTGTCGCTCATTCCTGGTTCCCACAGGAATGAATATTTTATTTGCGAGAACCGAACGTGTGACAGATCATCCTTGGTTCCTAAAGGTGAGACGAATGATAACTGAATAAATTTTGCCAGGCTAATATTTCATTGAAAAACTAAATTTGACTTTCAACTTGGAGATGAAAAAAACGGTTAAAAGCCATTGATTGTGCCGTACATGAGACGTACTGTGACGCATAGTGAAATAGGACAACTGGTACACAGATTTATTCAAGTTGCTATCAAAACTACAAATATAAGAATTTTGTACAATTTACGAGAAATTTGGAATTCATTCTAYAATTACAAGAAGAATAATGACTGCCTCTACTTAAAACATGACCACAATCCAAAGCAGACGAAGTGAAAATACTCGAAATTTAATATGTACAAATAATCAAAATTTAAGAGGCATTAGTTAGAAATTACGCAATTATCAAAACGTTTCTTGGTTTGCATTCCATAAGTTGCTTCCACTGATATCGATACAAATCATGCATTCATGTCTATTTCATCCTTCTTTGGATCCAATGAAAACAAAGGAATAAGTAGCCGTTAAATAAGTTAACGTTATGCAATTCAAATAAAATTATAATAGTTGCTTTTATTCAATTCCAAAACCTTCGGCATTTGATATTGCGATAGTCAGTTTTTGCTTGAGCTGTTTTCGGTTTTTGTATGGAGGAAGGATTAGTTGGTTGAAACACGTGTGAGCCATAGGAAGCCTAAAGCAAAAATACAAACATCAATAACGTCAGAACATGATTCATCATCRTCTTAAAATTCAGCTAACTTCATTTTTATCGCTCATTTTGAATTGACATAATGGAAAGCGTTAACAATCGCGATCTTCAACTTCATTATTGTGAATTTGCCAGGGCGAAACTCACTTCATAACCCCTTGAAAAAGTGGTAAGGGAGCTTCGACGGACTGTTCAGGGCTGAAAACTCGGTTKAAAGTAAGACCCTCTCTGTATCTTTCAGGATCTTTAACCTTTTATGAATCAGTCTTTAAYATTACGCACTGTCGAAAACTACATTCACAATTTAACCGACTATGCAGATTCTAAGACTTTTCTATCTGTGAGACCTCA